ATTCTAGTCAGACTTACTCTCTGACTGAGAAAATATAATGGAAATGCAGAAGAAGCCAGTGCACAGCAATTCTTCGTTTACTTTCTCTCTTGGGATCTTGCATTCCTTAAGCAGCAATTTAAAATGGGTAAAATCCTGTTGCACAACTCTGCCACCATGACAAGGATGATGTCATCAGCAGGAGCAAATTACTGCTGATTAATGATGAATCTCTGCTGATTTAAAATGAATGGCCACTGACTAAAGACAATTTTGAGATGCATGCAACTCATATACAATGCGATGAAATGCATGCGCCCTTGTACCCAACACTGCTGTAAATATCTTCGTATCGTGATTTTTAATGATATTGCTCTACAGGAACCTGGGTCTGTAACATCCTTATTTGTTTCAATATTAGTAGTATTGCAGATTGCTACCAAGGAGGCAGAGTTTCTCCTCCATCTAATATTGTATTAAATAATACTTTCAATTTTGGAACCAACAAATTTTAAAAGTTTTATAATATTTTGCATTTAAACCATCTCTCTCTGGAGCTTTACCTGCTTTCCATTTATTCATTACTTCCAATATTTCACCTTCTGTAATTTGCGACTCCATCATCCCTTTCTCTTCCTCCTATATTTTACAACCTATATATTTTTTACATAGGTAGCAATTCTATTTAGAGACATTTTATTCCCGGTATACAAATCTTCAAAAGACTTTTGAAATAACCCTCAGTTTCTTTCATCTTATTACATAATTCATTATTTATTTATTTATTTTATTTCTATCCCGCCTATCTGGTCGTACTAGACCACTCTAGGCGGCTTACAACAAACAACAACAACATAATTTTAAAACATTACAATTTAAGAAAGATTCACCTTTCTCATTTCTTATTGCTCCTATCATATTTTTCACTTTTCTTGATTGTGTGGGTTTAGCTAACATTTTAGAATTTTTATTGCTACTTTCATGCTAATCTCTTTTAAAATACACTGGGACCTCGACTTATGAATGTCCCTACCTACGAACATTTCAACTTACGAATGGCGCCGGTTGCAAAAATCTACATCGACTTGCAAACGGAGCCTTGACCTATGAATGAAAAAAAAGGCAGGGGAAAAGGGCGGGAAATTCAAATTTCCCCTACCGTTTTTCATTCCATTGAAACTGTTGGTGGCAAAGAGGCTGCTCTTTCACCCCAATGGTTAGGAAAAGGGAACCCCAGGAGGTCTCTGATGGTGGTAGGGAAGATCCCAGGGCTTTCCCACCACCATCAGAAACCTCCTGGGGGTCTGTTCATGGTGGCGAGGGAGCAATTTTAAATTTCCGTTTTCCACTGCCATGACCAGACTCCCAGGAGGTCTCCGATGACAGCGGGGAAACCCTGGGATCTTCCCCACCACCATTGGAGACTTCCTGGGGGGGAGGTCCGATTGTGGCAGTGGGGGAGCAATTTTAAAATTCCCGCCCTTTTCCACTGCCGCATTCGGACACCCAGGAGGTCTCTGATGGCAGTGGGGAAGCCGTGAGAGCTTCCCCACCACCATCGGAGACCTTCTGGGGGTCCCCCGCCACCGTGATCGGTGCCTTCAGGCTTTCCCGGGGGAAGACTGGGCCTCCTGGGGGAAGCAGGGAAGCCCTGGGAGACAGTTGGAAATTTAAAAACAACATGGGGCACTGATAAAGAGGGGAGATAGATGAAGAGGACTGGAAAAAATCCTGAATAGGGATTTTCAATTAGGATAAAAGAAAACAGTTATAAAATATTACAGAGATTAAACAGTAGAGATCTTAAATATTCTAAGAAACGTTGGAGATGTAACAAAGAAATTGCCATCTGTGGTGGAATTATGAAGTTATACAAAAGTATCATTTTAAAGTATTTTAAAGATTACAGGATTGTTGGAAATCTACATCAACATGGTTCCAAAAACAGCATTGTCATTGATGACAGAAAATTGTTATATAAATAATACCCCCAAAAAGTAATGGCAATGAACTTGATTCATTGCTTCTGGCTGTTGCTGGAAAGTTCAGAGGAAGCATTAGGCCATGGGAAGACTACCAAGGCTGCAGGTTGCCTTTGTGGCACTTAAGTTTTGATGGAAGGCCATTTTGAGAAGCAACTGAAGAAGAACGGGCCAGCACCCTAAACGCCATCCCTTAAAGTGTTTGCAGAATTGTTACAAAGTCATGTTCTGTGTGATTCTCTTGATTGTAGTTAGGCTACTATGGTCAAACTAGAAGCCCTCTGAAGGCACCACTTCATCCAGAGGCTGTTCATAGAGTCTTGCAGGCTTTTCTTTAACACTGGGTGTCC